TTTGATTTTAATCGAATGATGCATGTTTATTGAGTCAATTGAAGTCTGATCAACTTTTCCTGATTCCTGCTGCAATCTGAGATAGATAGAATCTGATTAGGTTTCTAGAGTCTCATCATTCGGTAGTAGGAGATTGGCTATACGAGAGTTAGCCAGTTTACTGCTTTGTACTGGAATCCAATTCCAGTAGTGGAGTTCTGTTCTTACTGCTTCAGCTTTCTATCCCGGTGAAGACTAGTCGTCTGTCGGGTAGTTAGACTGAGAGGGCTTGGTCAGCTTAAGAGATTCCAAGCTACTGTCGGATCTTCCGCAGTCTAATCAACAGTAAATCAACCCAGGGAAATACAATTGAAACCTAACTAAGGAGCTAGGGGGACTCATTCCCGAGTGACTCTTACCTGCTTGAGAAAACCGTATCAATTCCTGCTTTCTTTCTGCTTTTTCTTTTACACAACAAACACTTAACTTAGTTGGCTAGATAATAGAGAATCACTGAGTAAGCAGTAGATCTAGACCCCGGGTTGATAATCTAACTTGTCACTTTACTGCATTCCCGGACTGCGATTATACTTGGTCGTAGTTTGGTGTTGTGTTTTAGAGCATCACTTTCCCCTTACCTTTTCACCATAGCAATGGAGGTTTTCTCTTGTTTACCACTAAAAACCACGGTTGAAGAACAAATTTCATTAAATCTTTGTTGTAAACTACTTGAAATTTCACAGTTTTTGTAGGGCGACAATCTTATTGTTCTCTAATGGTTCTATTAGAGCTGTTGAGGGCATTAAGAGGTTGCTAGCTAGTTTCTTTAGTATACCTACTCTACAATTCAACCCAGTCAAAAGTTAGCCTTTTGTGGAGGAACTTTTAGTGAACGGCTATTTGCCGCCATTAAAATTGCTATTTGCATCCAACTAAAAAAAAAAAATCGATAAAAAATTCAAAATTTGAATTTTACGTCTTTATCATTCTATAAATTTGACTTTCAATAACATTTGCCTCTTTTCAACAAAAAAGTATGTCGCCGGCCGTCAGAAAATAGGTAACTTTTTCAATATCCCACAAATTTTTCCAGTTTTCGGCAAAATTGACGGCGGGCCGAAGGAAAATTGTGGCCAAAGCGTCGTCGGGCCGAAGGGTTTTTTCTGCTAGGCGGGGAGCGGACCGAAAAAACCTTTCAACCCGGAGGTGCCCTGGCCAAACTTTTCCTTCGACGCGACCTGAAAGATTGCGTCCGGCGTCGACCAAGCCGGGCCGAAAGAAAAGTTTGGCTAGAGCGCCGCCGGGCCGAAAGGTTTTTTCGGCTAAGCCTGGCTCCGGCCTCCGTTTTCCGTCGGCCCGACCTCGTATGCCTGTCGGATTCTTCCGCCTCGGCCAGGTTCCGGCCGCAAGAATTTTTGGCTCGTAGTCTGCCCGTTGGAAATCTTCGGAAAAAAATTTCGAAATACAAAAATCAACGCACCTGCTTAGTGATGATTTATGGAAGTGTGTCCCCAGTTTACGTCGAGGTTCGACTTTTTCGATGATTTTCGGGCGAGCGTCGATTTTTTCTGATTCAATACGTTTTCTGAAAGTTGGATATGTTGTAGGTAGTGAAACTCCTTTACCGAAGATATATATATATATATATATATATATATATATGTATAATCAATTTTGAATTAAAATTTTTTTTTGGTTGGCGGCAAGTAGCATGCCCCAATTTTTAAGCTGAAATGGGCTTTCTCGTAATATATCGAGTTTCCATTGGGGACTCTACCAATCTAGTATTCGGAGTTCCTCTTATATTAGATAAGCTTTCAAAAATGGATTTTCAAGTACTTATTGATAAGATCACCAGTTGACTAAGTGTTTTCCGACGAGAAAACTTGCGTTGAAATGAGATTAATGCACCTTTGACTTCTTTGGGCAACGATTACTAAGACACGACTCACACCTCTTCAAACAAAGTTCGAACGAGGGTGTTTGATTGATGGTTCTGGGAACGAGATCTAAATTAAATTACTTCTACTCCTATGGAGGTTCTGCGAGAGCTCCAAACTACGAACTATGTATATGGCTACATGATAGAGAAAAGGTAAAGGATAAACTTGACATGTGTGTCAGTTGTGTGATTTTTGGGAACAAGTGTCTCTGTCGGCCCCTCTTCCTATTTATAGCCACGAGGAGGTAACCGCCAAAGAAAACCACTTGTTGGATAACTGCTACAAAGAACCGCTCCCCCTTCTTCGATAGAAAACCGCCTCTTGTATAACTCCCAAAAAGAACGGTTCCCTGCTTCCTCGGAGTGGTGGTTACTCCTTCAACCGCCTAGGTGCCTCTCTTGGAACCATCGTGGGTTTTGGAGTGTAGCTTGCCTCGCCTGGTGTTGTTCTGAATCTCGTGACATGCTAGTCTTTTGACGAGCATGTGGTGTCTCGCAAAGGGGGTCATGGTTCTCTTCTCTCATGGCCATGGACTTCTTACTCACGTCTATGGCCCTCTTGGGACTTAGTCACTCCACCACCACGCCCTTCTCATTCGTGTCCATGGCCACTCTCGTGAGGTGGCATGGTGTCTAATGTTTCTTGTTTCGCGTTAATGGCCATCACATAACACAGCCATGGACCTCTTAATCATGCACGTGGCCCTTCTCATGAGGCGGCATGGGCTTCTCAGAATTAGTATATTTCAATTGTGTCTAATATTTCATGTTTCGCGTCCATGGCCATCACATGACACGGCCATGGACCTCTTAATCATGCACATGGCCCTTCTCGTGAGGCGGCATGGCCTTCTCAGACTTAGAATATTTTTCAGTCATGCCTAGGCCATCTTGTCTCATGTCCATGCCCCTTCTTATGACTCGGCATGGACATCTCATCTTGTCTCGCGTCCATGCCCCTTCTCGTGACGCATGGACCTCTCAAACTTAGTCATTTTTGTCCCTTTTAGAGATGGCATGGCTCCTCGATTTCTAGACGGACATGGCCCTCCTCGTGGAGGCGGCACGTGCTTCTCCTTGAATGGCATGTACCTCTTCCAGACTTAGTTTATTTTTCACTCATTCGGTCTTGGTCGTGAGGCGGCATGACCTCTTCGTTCGTGGCCATGGACTTCTCATATTTAGAAATTTTCATGCCATCTCGTGGCATGGCATGGTCTCCTACGAGAGGCCCATGTCCCTCTTTGAATCATGTCCATGCTCACTATGACTTAGTGGCTTTGGCTTCAAATCAATATCCATAAGGCCCAATTTAAACAACATTAATTGTTATAATGGGCGTGGACTTATAAACTCATTGATTATCTTGTAAGTTGTAACTCACTAATGTGGTACAAGACAAATTTTATGGTGTAAAGACTAAGGAAATAGATGCTCGGTTCCTTAGCTATGCAAACAAGGTGCAACTTGTGTCTTCAGCAGTATCCACATATTAAAATACTGATTGCAACTGTTTTACTCCCATAGGAAGTGATGCATGAAGTAGAAGATCAAGGCAATAGATTCACGTGGGGTGTGGGTGAATTTGGATCACACTTAAGGGGTCGTTTGGAGAATGGGATTCAGGACATGGATTCACTGAATCCGTAGATTTTGTAGAAAGTTATGTTTTTTTGTTGCTTTCTGTATTGCCGATTTTAGCTTTGGAGATTTCAAATCTCTAAAATCTGCGGGTATCAGAGAGATTCTATATCTTGATTCTAGTGATTTTTTTTCTCCTAGTTTTTCTCATACTTTTATTTATTTATCACATGAAATATATCTATCAACAAAGTGTTTAATATTTCTTGAACCACTTTAATTTTTTTTATTATGGATACAAATTTTATTTAATATAAAATTAAATTTTTTATTTTAATTGAAATGTTAATAATGACATTTACCAAACAATAAACATTTTAAAATCTAATTTGAACAATCTGGAGAGTTAGAATCTTTAGAACGTTGACAATCTGTAGATTTAAACTCATATTATCCAAACACGAACTCTAACATCTCTTGTGGCCTGTAAGTATGTAGCACTGCTAAAGTGAATTTTGCAACTGAAATTAAGATTGCATCATCCGACATATTTGGAATATTTTACACAATAGGGATTGCTCTGGATTTCTTGGATCTATTTGGGAGATAGGTCCAACCTCTGTTGAATCCCTCATTACTGGTAATGGATCCCCTATGTGTTGAATGACAATCATATGGATCGTTATTTTGTCAAGACTGTCTGGAATTATATAATGGAAGCAACACAGGTGTTGGGAAATGGTTATGCTATATCTTCCTGACAATTAGTAGGTATGAACGGGAGATGTAGAGGGATTGAGTGGTTTTATTAGTTTTGGGTTTTGCTGCAACCCAGTACTTTTGATTATATTGATAGTTAGAGTGTTAACTTTATATCATTATAGAAATCAGTGGCGAATAAGAAAGAAAAGTAATTTGGATGACAAACATGAAAGATTTATGTAATTTTAGTGACCAAACATGTAATTTAGCCTTTCTCCTATTTTGACTTTTATTCAACTCGTTAGAGTCTATCTTTCAACTAATAAGACTCAATTACCCGACCCGTAGTATCGTGGGGCGGGGCATGGCTATTGAGGTACACGCGCTGCCCCGCCACATTGCCTTCACTACCCATAACAATGTCGTCATAAAAAGTTTAGGTATCAAAACATAAATTTTGAAGAATATCTTCATTGAAAACTGAAATTTCAGTGTCAAATTGTAAAAGATAACCATACATAGATACTAAATCGTACTTTTTTATAATTCATGAATCCAACAATCAAATTGTATTTTCATTGAATGGATTGGAATATATGAAATAGATTAATTAGAAATTGTAGTGATGGATTGAAATATTACCCATGTAACCCAGAGGTTTGATTAATAGGGAATGTCAGAATTGAAAATTTATTTTACATACTATTGAAAGGACGGAGTGTGAGGAGAAGTCCACCCAAGAAAAAATGCAGCATATAAGTTGAAAACCAGTAATATTTTGTTTGATCATAAATGAGTGACTTGTCAAGCATTATTACTCTACAACGAAGAACAAACGGTCCAAAATATCATACAAGAATCAAGATCCACTATCAAATTCAAACCTATGGATTATGACAGGAAACATAATGACCACCAAAAAGAACAAAAAACCAATAATATTACTGCTAGTCCAATCTTATCTCCCTATTATATTGGCTCACACTACAAAGAGAACATAATTGGCCCACAAAATGGATCACAAGGGATCGAAGTGACAAGAACCAACAATGTTGGATAACTGAGAAATATGGAAGAGACGTGAACTAACACCCCAGCATGCCAACACGCACACACAAAAACGAACAAGGCAGGGGGGAGTGGGGACTCTGAGTCTGAGCCTGAGGGGGACTAGAATGACCTGATAGTCTTAATCAGCTTATCCAGATCATTGAATGATGAACCACCTTTCCTGGTCCCAATCTCCACTCTTGCCTTCAACTCCATCGCTCTTTTCCTCATCTCTATCCCTTCTTTCTCCACCATCAGCCTTCTCAAGGCCGCCGCCACCTGTTCCCTCTCCAACTCCTCCTCCAGCTGCATGCCCACCTTCCATACATGGGTCACATACCTCGCAGTCACCTTCTGATCGGCGAAGTTGGGCCTGCAAATCAAGGGAACCCCTTCAGCAATGCTCTCGACAGTAGAGTTCCATCCGCAATGGCTCCAAAACCCTGCTACGGCCTTGTGTGCCAAAATTTCCTTCTGTGGCGCCCACTGCACGATCCGCCCTCTTTCCCCGACGCCTTCTTTGAACCCATCAGGCAGCGACTCTTGAATATTACGTGTTCCACGTACCAGGCCGGGTCGAACAACCCACAGGAAGGGAAGGTTGGACTTTGTTAGTCCCCATGCCATCTCGGCCAGCTCGTGCTGGCTTATGCAGGCCAGGCTCCCCAAGCTCACGTAGATCACCGACTTCTCTGCCTGCTTGTCCAGCCATGGGATGCAGCTGTAGTCCTCCTTTAGTAAGCTGGTGGAGAGCTGCGGGGCGAATTTGTGCATCGGTCCCACCGTGAAGATTGGAACTTGGCATTGCTGCTTCACTTGATCGAGTAACGAGTTTTCCAGACAATCCAGGGTGTTCCATATGACAGCTGAACTCGTCCTGACGAGCCTGAGATTCTCGACCATTTCCACGAAGTTGCTCACTGGCTTGAAAATGGTTGTGGGAAGATCTTTGTATCTGAGGGGGTAATGCTCCGGCACTGGTTCCTCCATTATTGAATCTGCAGTTTTGTGTTAAGAATAAGGATGTGAAAACCAAGAGCTTTGACATTTCCAAGAATCGAAAATGAAAATCAGAACAAGAAAAGATTTACCCTGCAGAGGGGTTTGGCCTTGGTCAATTAGTCGCAGAATGAGATCACGTGCGAGGAAGGTGGAGACAGTATTGGTTCGCAGCATGATGCTTGGGATGCCGAGAGAGTTGGCCACAGATTCAGCACTGTAGATGAGTTCATCATAAATTATGCAGCTTACCTTCCCGTTTGGCTTCTCAGATTGCATCATTCGAGCCACGCGGTCCTTCAAGGGCGTGTGGCAGTTGGCGTTGACTGCTAACAAGATAGCAGGTATGTTCCCAGAAGAGATGAGGCTGTCAGGTAAGCCGTCTGGTATGGGTATGAACCTGAAATCAGGATGGTTCCTGGGACAAGGAGCGTTGAACTGGGTGTGAATTATGGAAATGGAGAATCCCCTGGAATGAAGTATGGTGCCAAGCTGAAGCATCGGGTTGATGTGGCCTTGGTAAGGACATGGGACTAACACCAGATGGTGTGGTCGAATCACTTCTCCTCCTTCGCTCCCCATCTAGATTTTGATACCTAGTTGCCTTGCACACTAGTACTGTCTGTAAACAACTGAAAATCAAACCAGCATATGATGAACTAGCAGTAGATGTGGGTGGTTTAAAAGGAAATCATAAAGATCACCTTTTGGAGTGGTGGGTGGGGGACGACGTGGATATGAATATTAAATATTGGCCATGGGGGAACGTGGGTAGCAGACGTGCACCTTGATGTCAGCTTATTGGCACGAGGAAACAGTAGAGAGATCCAGATGACATGACATGTAACTGGAAGTTCAACAACAACAAGTAAAATGCCAAGTTGCAGCAGCTTACCATAGAAAGGTATGGGAACCAAACCATATATGTAACGCTTGACTTCATACCGTCTTTGTCGGTAAGCACATGTCCCGTTTCCCCCAGATATGGAATTCGACATAATTCAAGCACGTGCGTTTATTTTTGTAACAGCTGGTAACAGTTTTGCTGATATTAATGACCAGTACCTGAACTATTCACTGTGGTCTGTGGCCATGAGATGCAAGGTACACGACAATTCCTAGAACTTACCTGATGCCCCCGAGTTTTAAGTTTTTTTGGTGCCAATTTCCTCTGTTTCCTTGAGAGTCCTAATCCTCTTTTCCTCATCTCTTTCCCTTCTTGATAGATCATCAATTTTTTCACAATTCCAAAAAAACCCATCTTTCCCAGCTTCCATACAATACAAGAGTCACATATCTACAGTCCCGTTTCAGGGGAACGCCTTCAGTTAATGGCTCTCGACAATAGAGTTCCATCCACAATGGATAACAAGACCCCCAAGGCTCACGGAGTTGGCCACAGATTCAGAACAGTACACAAATTCATCGTAAGTGCTTCACCCTTGCTTGCAATGTGATTTCTCAAATGGCATCTTTATGCAACCCCTCAATGGCTTATGGCAGTTGGTGTTGCCAGCTACCAAGATAGCTCGTATGTTCCCAGAAGAAATGAGGTCATCAGATACGCCATATGGTACATAAGAACCCTGAAATAAACTGAAACATCATAACTAAATATTGACTAATGAGATAGATACTCAGCAAAGTCACAGCTTTCTTGTTCGCTTATAACTCAAGAATTCAAATGTATCTAGTTTGAGGAAATGGAACCAAATACAAACTCATAGAGCCAGAGAGATGAACACAAAAACCAGGTATCATCATCTCTACTTTGCCTTTCATAAACGTACTTCGGAGAATACATGGAGAGTCTGTAACAAGAACCGATTTCCCCCACGAAAGCAAGGAAGGGATACTCGAGACTTTCATGATCAAGTCTTCTCATACACACATCGCATCATATGACAATTAACACAGAACAAAAGTCTGGCAAGCTGCCTGGTTAAAACAATATGCTATGAACTGCTAGTGAATTCGAGAGAAAAGTGAGGACGCAACTCACCCGGAGAACTCTGGATAGCCATCGCTCACAAAGTTTGGTTCATTTAAGTATTCCGGCAGCCTGAACCTCCTTAGGTCAAGAAATTGCCGGCGCTGAGGTCGATAAGATGCCAGATAACATTATCGCCGTCCTTCGCGGCGTTCCTATAGCCGCTAATATGCCGCACACGCCACACTGTCGTCCTCCGCCTATGGATTCTCCTTTCGGCCCGGCCAGTGCCGGCGAATGTCAAGAATTCTGGATAGAGATCTCCGGGACATGATTGGAGAAATAAGAGGATCGTACGGTAAACTCCCTCAAGAGATGGCGAGGGTTGAAAGGGGAGGGCTCGTACAATGCCGATTTCATCTCTGGGATCGGGAAGCCTGGCAATCATCGGCTCATCCCCGTACTCGCTACTCGTGTCGCCCTAAAATATAATTTTATCGCCTAAAAGTAAAACGTACTAAATTGACATAATTATCACTCAAAGCAATTTCTATTCTAACCAAACAATTAAAGAATCCCACCAGTCGGGGCTCAAGATAGGGTACATAACCCATCAATAGAGGTGGCAATTTCAATCCAATCCACCAATCCAATCCATCAATCCATTAAAAATATCCACCTAATCCAATCCATTTAAATCCAATCCATTTAATCCAAATCCAATTGGATTGGTGGATTCATGGATTGGATCCATGGATCATTGGCAAATTACGGTTTAGTACCTATAATTTTTATTTTATACATTTTGGTACCTAAAATTTAATTTTTTATACGAAAAATATCATTGGAAAATTACGTTTTGGTACCTAAAATTTTTCATTATGACATTTTAGTACCTAAACTTTTTACATTTTACATATTGGTCCTTGGTTGAGGATGTCATTTGGATTCATGGATAATCCACAAATCCACTTGATCCAATCCATGAATCCACCAATCCATTAGATCCAATCCATTTGATCCATGGATCCATCAATCCAATCCATCAATCCACCAATCCAATCCATTTGCCACCTCTACCCATCAATAATCAAATCTGAACCCTTCATTTAGAAAATTCAAATCTAAGAATGGAGATTAAAAGTCATTTTTATTTTCCCTAACTTTCTTAATCGGCTTATATCTTCTTTGTTTTAACTCGGATTTTAATTTTTTTTTTCCACAAACGGAACGAGTTCATCATGCTCTACAAAATGAGATCTATTTTCAAGAGAAAAACTTGGGTACGTCCGCTGCACCACGGTGGATTGATGATTTGGTGCACCGCACCAATCCAGATCCGCCACCTGTCCATATTAAATTCACTTTAATTTTTCTCTCTTTCCTGTATTGGAGTGCTTTGTGGTTAGCTTTTTCCTCTATTCCTTTATTGTTGCTATTAAATTATTAATTGGTGACTCTTGCGGTTAATTATTAATTAACTAAATTAAACAATAAACATTCCTGTCAATTAAAGAACTCAGGACCAAACCCTACGGAAGAAAAGAGCTTCGTTGCCGTCACTGTTCCTGGCTGAGTTCCCAGTCTACAAAGCTGATAAAGAATCAGTGTTGATGACCCATCATACAACAATCTGGTTAAAATTTCAATGCAACTTGAATACAGCTTTCGTCGGCTCCGGTAAAGCTGCACTTCATCTCAAAACTATCGCTGGTCGCAATCCCGATTAAGGTTTCAAAGCTAATGATGATCCAAGGAAGGAATGACTAATGATGATCCCCTTGAAGTGAAAAAATTCAATAGATTGGAAACAAGAACTGGGTGCAAAGCTTTTATCCGATTCAGCATTGAGAATGATGTGTGGATGTTAGAAGTTAGCGTAGCAAATAGTAATTAACCTATATTAGTGTTTAATTACGTAGTAAGCCTGGTAGGGTTAGGAGGTTGGATATATATATATATGTAGCATAGTCTCCACCGATGTAACCTAAGCAATTTCGGCTATATCTCTATACTACAAACTCCGAGAGGTATTTCCTCTTCGTGGATTAGTCTCAACGATATTCGTTGAGGATACCACGTAAATCTGGTGTCGTTCTTGTTCCGTGATCATTGCGTTTAACATGGTATCAGAGCCTCGGGCTTGATCGTGTGGATTTCAGAGTTGTTTCGTTCGGTTGCTGTGGGTTTTCTATATTTCAGAGTTGCTTCATTCGGCTGCTATGGGATTTTCTTGTTTCCTTTGGCTGCTGTGGGATTTGCTTGTCCTCTCTATATTTGTTGCCCTTCTGGTCCTTTCTAGTTCAGCGCTGCTGGCTCTCCTCCTTCAGGTTCTTTGGTCTCCTCTAATTGTCCCTTTCCCTTCTCTTGATTCGCTCTATTGTGGCTGTTCTTCTTTATCATGGAAGCTTCAAAGTTGGATTCAGTCTCGGTTCGCTTCAATGGGCATAACTATGCCCTTTGGGAGTTCCAATTCAGGTTGTTTGTTCAGGGTCGCCGCCTTTTCCCCATCCTCGACGGCACTCTTCCTACTCCTGATGCGACGGCGTCGGCGAAAGTGCTTGAAGACTGGGCCACTAGTAACGCCCAAGTCATGGGTTGGATCTTGTCCACAGTCGATCCCTCTATTGCTCTAAGTCTCCGCAGTTTCACCACTGCCCACGCCATGTGGCGTCACCTTCGTGGGTTGCATTCTCAGTCGAGTGCTTCTCGTAAGTTTGATCTGGAATTTGATATTGCAAGATTGTCTCAGGGAGATCGAGATGTTCGGACGTATTATCAAGATGATGTCACGTTGTGGACAGAACTTGATCTATTGACAACTTCTCTTGTTTCCGCTGAAGCTTCTGCCGAGATTCAGCAGGAGCGTACTAGTTCTCGTATGATGACCTTTTTTATGAAACTCTGGCCTGAATTTGAAAGTGTTCGCTCATCACTTCTCCATCGTAATATTACCAAGATTGAGGATGTCTTGGGCGAGTTAATTCGGGAGGAGACTCGGCTGCGGAGTCAAGCTAAGATCGATCTTCATGGTGCGGACTCATCTGCTGCTGCGTTTTCTGTGGGTGGGCATCTACCTGCCCAGCCCTTGGCTGCAGTCATTCCTCGGCATTTGCTATTGGCTCTGCCGCCAAACCCAGGTTTCTTCGTGCTGTCAATGGTCAGGTGATTTGTTATCATTGTAAGGAGCCTGGTCACGTTCAGCTGCATTGCCCTAAGCGTAATGAATGTAATTACTGCAAGGAGGTTGCTCACAAAATTGCAGCATGTCCTATACTCGCCAGGAAGGGTCGAGCTCGGTGTGGGTCTTCTTCACGTACTGCATTTACTGGTCCTGCATATGCGGCGGCGGCTCCCGCCTTGCTTCCTACGACGGCTGGTTTTACCTCGGACAGCATTCGCCGGATGCTTCACGAGGTGGTTCGTGAGGCTCTTCCTTCCGTGTTAGGTTCTATCTTTACTGCTGGTATGCCCTCTCGTTCCTCTTCAGTGTGGCATCTTGATTCTGCAGCCTTTAATCATATGACTAGTTCTCGTTCCTCTTTTCGTCAATTGCATTCGGCTAGTTCTACTAAGTTACAGGTTGCTGATGGGACATGTATTCCTGCCCAAGGTATTGGGTTGGTTGATCAGCCTGGGCTATGTCTTCCAAACACTCTTTATGTGCCCCAACTGGTCCCTAATCTCGTCTCAGTTGGTCAACTAGCAGAGAGTGGGTGTAGTGTCACATTTGATGCTGGTGGCTGTGTTGTGCAGGACAAGCGAACGGGGAAGAAACTGGGCCACGGGACTAAGGTGGGGCGGGTATATCAGCTGCATGAGGCCCATCTTGGTGAAGGAAGGTTCATGTTCAGACTTGGCTTCACATCCAGCTGTTGGGTTTTCTGTTCGTTTATCAAATTGGGACTTATGGCATCGGCGTTTGGGACATCCCCATTCTGCTCGATTGCAAGAGATGTTTAAGAATAAACTTTTTTCGAGTACTTTTGTTTCTGATTCTTGCCATCCATGTACTCATTGTTTGGAAGCTAAACTATCTCAACATTCTTTTAGTTCGAGTAATACAGTCTATTCTGAGCCATTTGAGTTAGTTCACATGGATTTGTGGGGTCCTGCTTCTGTTACATCACGTGTTGGGTTTCGATATTTTGCTTTGTTTATCGATCATGCTACTAGCTTTGCCCCGGTATACTTTCTTCGTCAGAAATCAGAACTTCTTGAGGTTGCCAAAGAATTTATTCAGATGATTCAGACGCAGTTTGGAAAGACAGTGAAGGTGATCCGATCTGATCCTGGTGGGGAATTCTCTTCTGGTCCGTTACAGACGGTATTCAAGGCACATGGGATTCTTCCTCAGCAATCGTGTCCGGGGGTTTCTCAGCAAAACGGACTAGTTGAACGAAAACATAGGCATGTTTTGGAACTCACTCGAGCCCTTCTTTTTCAGTCCAGCATTCCTACGACCTTCTGGGCAGAGGCAGTTCACACAGTTGTTTATCTAATAAATGGTCAGCTGACCCCAGTACTAGATCATCGAAGTCCGTTTGAGGTGTTGTATCAACGCAAGTTGGATTATGCATGGCTTCGGGTGTTTGGTTGTATTTGTTATGTGCTTCTTCCAAAAAAAGAGAGACATAAACTTGCACCCAAGGCGGTGAAATGTTTATTTGTGGGTTACAGCGATAAGCACAAGGTGTACGTTTGTTATGATGTGATTAATCGGCGTATTCGAATTTCGTGTCACGTTGCATTCTTGGAACACTTGTCCTATTATGCTGAGAGGGACTCTACGTCTAAGAAGGATGGGAATTTCTACAACCACAACTTATATTTGCTGCTCCTTCGGATCCATTTTTTCCTGAGGATAATAATCCCAATACATCCCAGGGAGGGTCCATTTCTATGGACATAATGACTGCCGAGACATCTCCCAGCTCCTCGGCCTCCTCGGCTAGCTCGGCTTCCACTTCCTCTTCGCCAGTCATCCCTTCTCCCACGTCTCCAACTTCTTCCTCTAGCTCGGTGTCCTCATCTTCTCGGACAGAACCTGACTCCCCGCCACCAGAACCTGCCTCCCCTCCAGCTCCGCGTCGCTCACTACGAGCTACTAAAGGTCAGCGCCCGGCTCACTTATCCAATTTCATTGCCTTTTCTAACGCTCCTATCTCTGTTCCGGCTACATACAAGCAGACACATGGGGATAAGAACTGGGATGACGCTATGGATGTTGAGACGTGTGCTCTGGAGGAATCTCATACGTGGGATATTGTTGATCGTCGTCCTGACATGTCCGTTATTGGTTCGAAATGGGTATACACAATTAAAACCCATCCGGATGGTTCTATTGAGCGCTATCGTGCTCGGGTTGTTGCTCAGGGATTCAAGTAGGAGTTTGGTATTGACTATGAAGAAACGTTTGCCCCTGTTGCAAAGATGCAAACA